GATACGCCGGTGTGTTGGAAAATGAACAAGTGGAGGGACCTAATGGCTCTGCACAACTTGGTGGAAAACTAATGCATGATAAAGCAGACGTGGTTAGTGCCTTGCGGGAGAGCGTGTACGGTTCGGAGGAGCAGATAGATCACCACAGTCTGGTGAGATTGATGCAGGAGTGACGATAGGTTCTGACGCAATTCTCGAGACTCAGAGGAAAGGCAAGACGGAAGTTTAATCAGAATGCTACTGGCACCATTAGTATAGGAACTTTTCTTTGGCTGCTGAAGATGGGGACAAAGCGCTGAGGGGAATGCCCCGAGGATTGTGATGTCGGGTTTTGAATCAACTCATCAAATCAACTCATCAAACCCGACAGGACAAAAGTAAACAGTGTGTAACTGCAAACAAATCAACAGGGCCTGGAGAGGATGGTCCCATGAGGAGTAACCAGATAGTCTCGCCGACATTTAGAACTTATCGAGAAGCAAGCTGAGGGACATCAAGACAGACGGCTATTGGAATTAAAACACTGTGCTGCCTCGGAAGTTTGAGACAGAACCAATATGAGAAGATGAAGTTGTCTCAGATGTCGATTCTCAGCTGAACTCGATATTACTTCAGTAACCTGACGACACAAGGTGCTTTGCGATTATATCATAATTATAATCAGGTGCCTTGCCGACTGGCGTGGACGATCATGCCTCTCCACAATCTGCGATCTCCTGCAGCATGTATTAGTTCGTGTGTCGACACACCTCCATGCCATGCAACAAGACTGTAAAGAATCTTCTCTCATTGTCTTCCTCTATCCCTCCTTCCACAGATCTTTTCCAGTGGTCACAACATGTTCTATTTTCCCTCTTCTCATAACACGGCCGAAAAATGACTGTCTCCTTCTGATGTCTGTGAAACGATGTCTTCAAAACCTTTTAGTTGCTCTTTTCGGCTGTCCGAGGTATTCTAAACAATTTTCTGTAAAACCACATCTCTGAGGCCTCAAAAAATTGTTTTGCCTGCATACCGATTGTCCAAGACTCACCGCCATATGTTAAAACTGGATGTATGTAGCAAGCAAGAATTCTTTTTCTAACTCTCAATGTCAAGAATATATTGCATAAGATGTTCTTCATTTTATAAAATGCAGTTTTTGCCTGTCCTATTCTGTTTCTTATCTCTGTTATACATCTTCCATCTGATGGTATCTATGTGCCCAGATACTTAAATTGCTGCGATTATATATAGATAGAATTAGCAAACTGGCACATTCGCACACTGTAGCACTCTATTGAATACGCAATCTTGGAAACTAGACTGACGTCATGCCACATCCGCCCGCACAGCTCACCCAGGTGACCATGCAGAGCCAGAGCGTCTGCCATTAGTTCCTTCCACATAAACACGCTGACACACACTGCAGCAGCCAGGAGTTGACAGACAGACCTAACCATCAACGACAAAGTCACTGCCGAATCGTTTGATTGAGACATCAAGACCTTACCCACAAGCATGCCCTGTTTCAAATGGGAGGCTCTTTTGCCAAAGCCGCCTCCACCGAAAGGTAACAGCTGTTTCATGATGATCTGCACATATTTTTCTTTCTACCTCCTGCTTTTCATCTCGTTTCACCCCTTCCCCTTCTCTGCTGTCAAGAATCTCCTCGCGCGGTCTTCCCCTGTCTTTCTTTAAACAGATCTTTCCAGTGGTCAAGGCATGTTCCAGTTTCCTTCTCATAACATGAACAAGAAATGATGACTGACACTTTCTAATGTTTGTAATAAGTTGTCTTTAAGCCTTTGCGCCCCCGCCCCTCCCCCTCACACACACACACACACACACACACACACACACCACACATCGGGAGTCGCAGTGGCAGAGCGAATAGACGATCGCTGCAAATCGAAAAGTCGAGATCTCGCTCCCTGGCGGAACCGGACTTTTTTCAAAATGGCCTTGGCTCCTAGATCTACCCAGCCTTGAATGGGTGCCGTGTGCAGTCCCAGGGAGTAAAGGCGGCCGGCCTGATGCTGACCACATCACCCATCTTGTGCCGATTGGTCTATAAAATATAGGTCTAGCCCTGAATGCCCTATACGCCTAAAGTCGTGGGAAAATGTCTTGTATTTACATTTTACAAACCTCTGGTTTTTTTTTCTTCTTTTAGCTGTTTAGCTGTCCCAGGAATTGTAAGCAATATTAATGCATATAAAATTTAACGCATATAACTTCTCTCATTTTTCAAGTTCACTTAAACACGATTACCAATATTAAATGTAATAATTGTATGGAGAGAGCGGAGATGGACTTCGCAGTTTAGATTAGAGGAGTGTAGGACAATCATGGACATTGGGTGTCAGAGACAACGTCCGCACCAAGAGTTACAAATAAATACTGTTCAAGAAAGGTGTTCATAGTTTTTCACATTCGCATTCCTGTACAGCATTAGGGTTAGGCTGAGAGTTAGGGTTAGGGTGAGGGTAAGGGTTAGGGTTAGGGTTAGGGTGAGGGTTAGGGTGAGCGTTAGGGTTAGGGTTAGGGTTAGGGTACGAGTTAGGGTGGGGGTAAGGGTTAGGGTTAGGGTGAGCGTTAGGGTTAGGGTAAGGGTTAGGGTGGGGGTAAGGGTTAGGGTTAGGGTGAGCGTTAGGGTTAGGGTTAGGGTGAGTGTTAGAGTTAGGGTTAGGGTTAGGGTGAGGGTTAGGGTTAGGGTGAGCGTTAGGGTTACGGTTAGGGTTAGGGTGAGGGTTATGGTTAGGGTTAGGGTAAGGGTGAGGGTTAGGGTTAGGGTTAGGGTTAGGGTTAGGGTTAGGATTAGGGATAGGGTTAGGGATAGGGTTAGGGTTAGGGTTGGGGTTAGGGTGAGGGCAAACCGGTGTCACTGAGGCAGTCAGGACTGACAAAGATCCTTATTCTAAAATATTCTACATTCATGGAAACTCCAGGATTTCCTTTTTTTTTTGGGGGGGGGGGGATAAAGTACCCCATTTCCTTTTTTTTAAGTAGAGAGAGAGAGAGAGAGAGAGAGAGAGAGAGAGAGAGAGAAAGAGAGAGAGAAATAAGAGAGAAAGAGAGAGAATAGAGAGAGAAGAGAGAGAGAAGATAGAGAAAGAGATAGAGAAAGAGAAAGAGAGAGAGAGAGAAAAGAGAGAGAGAAAAAAAGAAAGAGAGAAAAAAGAGAGAGAGAAAAAAAGAGGGAGAGAAAGAGAGAGAGGATGGAGTAAGAGAGGACGTGCTGTATAGTTATCTGATGACGCGTGTTATTAATTGACGAAAAAGCCAGTACGCATCAAATCTATCGGTGGTCGAGCTTCGAAGTGAACTGTTCACTGATTGACTGATACATCAATGTTATCACTTTAAATTGCAACGATTATGATTCAGTTACGTAATTTCAATAGAAGAGCATGTGTTTTGATGTCCCCCCCCCCCATCCCCCCCCCCCCCCCCCCAGTCCTTGAGCAGTAAAACTCCACCGAATAATTATGCGTGATCTCATTTAGCTAATTCTGTCTGGTAATGTTGTCACAACAAATATGTCGTTGAATGCACATGTCTTCCTCTTCAACAAATCCACTCTTCACTTCCAGCTTCTATTCAAGCGTTACATCTCAAATTGCTGATTATAATTTCAATCAATATTTTAGTCTTGTTGAACTAATTGTGCATTTTCTCAAACCCCCAATAATTTATTGTAACAGGTGGTTTCTTTGGCGCTAGCTCGACGACAACCCCAAAGCAAGATGCGTACGTGGGCAGCAGTTCTGTATTCGCACTAGATGACCAAAACTTCAAACCGTTTCTGAGGACAAAAGACATGGCCCTGGTCATGTTCTATCAGACCAACTGCAAAAATTGCGATTTTTCCAAAAAACACTTCAAGAAGGTGAGACTTATTACAAGAGATGTGTGGAGTGGGGAAATTGTCAAGTGAGATGTGAGGACCAGTAGAGAGGTGTGTGGAGTGGGGGTGGGGGGTGGGGATTATCATGGGAGATATTTTGGGGACCAGTAGAGACGTCTGTGGAGTGAGGGGATTATCAAGGGAGATGTTGTGAGAACAAGTAGAGACGTGTGTGGAGTGAGGGGATTATCAAGGGAGACAATGTGAGGTTGGCACATGATTACGAGTGAGATGAGTGGAATGGGATTGGGGGGGGGGGGGGGCGAGATTATCAAGGGAGACTTTGAGAGGGTGGCACTTGATTTCGCTTACCAGATAGATGAGAGAAATGAGGGGGGGGGGGTGGAATTATCAAGGGAGACATTGTGACGGTGGCACATGATTACGAGAGAGATGACTAGAAAAACAAGGGGGGGGGGGAGGGGTTATCAAGGGAAGCATTGTGAAGGTGGCACATGATTACAAGAGAGATGTGTAAAGTGGGGAAATTATCAACGGAGATATTGTCTTCTTCTTGTGTTCGCTTTTTTATTTATACTGACAGACAAGGTCTTATGTTAAAATTGACTGTTTTTAGGAGTTCCCTTTTAGCTCCTTACAGATCTGAGGGAGTGTTGACTCAGTGGGCCAGTATTCTCTTGGACTTAGACAAAGCTTGTGCATATGCTTGTTAAGTTTGTTATGTCCTGTCCTGGGGCGTAGAAAAATTACCTGCCCACGCAGGTCAAGGAATTGGTGGTCATCTCTGGCCAGACTCGTTTCACTTCTGATAGACTGGACGGCCCTTCTTTTCTCATAATACGTTAATGCATTCTCTCTTTGTTTACATTTTGTCCCTGTCTAAGCAAGTTTATGTGCGCTTTCGATGCCTGGTATACTACAGTGGGATGGCACCCTGCCTGCTGTATTACTACAATCTTTGTTGTGTAGTTGGACCAGAACTTACCAGTAGGTGTATACTTTGTGTGGCGGTGGTTGTCTTGGTATGAAATAAGGACGCCAGCACTCCCATTTTTTAACTGCACTGTTGCTGATCCATCTGTGTAAACATGTATCCATGACTTCTCAGGATAGTTTTCTTGAATTATGCTAAGAGCAGCTGTTCGTTGTTGAAGGTAACCGGACTCTTCTCGAGCTTTCAGTCCACTGACTGGTCTCTATCTGTTTTGTGTCGCTGACTTGCTCCCAAGGTACAGGGTGTATGATAGGTTTCAACGTTGTTGTTCTCGTGGGTAGATATGCTTTATAGTGTCTTCTAAGTCATTTCCTCCGATGGACAAAGCTGCTACATTTGAGACGCCCCAATGTCAGATCATCTTACCTTTCATTTATTGGGTGTGTGCATATTATTAAACTGCTCCATCTGGATCATAGATTTAGTGCTTTTTCTATAGGACAATTTTTGCACTGCAGTTATTTTTTGCAACTAGAGGATCGGTGCAGTTTTCATAGATTCTGTATAGATTCTGAGTGGTTGATTTTCGCACTCTTTCTAATGATTGTAGATGGAAATTAGCAGCTGTTGACCAAGCTGTTGCACCAAACTCAAAGTGGGGTGTTATCGCTCCATTATAAACTTTCTTTAGAGTTTCTACATTCGCTACCCAACTTGCACCTGCCAGTTTTCTAATTAGCTCTAGTCGTCTCCTGGCACTCCTTTCTACATTTGTTTGAAGTCTACCCACAATGAACTTTTTCTTCTCCTGGAAGGCATCTTCTAAAGCTTGTGACAAGTTGGTGACTTGGTCTTCTATGCTGTGATATTCACCTAATCCAGCCTGCTCTGGCACCAAGATCTGCTCAGATTCTAAGCGCCATTTCAGGCTTAAATTTATAATTCCCTCGGAGATATTGTCAGGGTGGCACAAGATCCCGCGAGAGATATCTGGAGTAGGGAAATTATTCAGGGAGATAATGTGATTTGATAGTCCCCATTGTTATTTATTATAGAACCTAGATATTCAAAATGTGTCACATTTTCAATTTCTTTATCAATTATTACTTTCGAGTGGCGGCCAGTTTGGCCGGGACATATAAAAAAAAAAAAAATTAAGAATAGGTTTTGATCTTTAATGTGTTTTTGGAGGGAAATGTTTAAATGTTTTTTTTTTTTTCCCTTTGCATTGTCCGAAAGGAGGACTGTGTCGTCTGCATAGAGAAGTTCCGGAAAAGGTGACTTGTGACTTGTCACAAGTCTGGTATTTTGTTTTTGTTTTTTTTGAGTGACATTTCTAATTATTTTCTGCACTTAACTTGAAGGGGTATATTGAGAGTGTGCACCCCTACCTCTCTCCCTGTTGCACCTTGAACGATCTGATGTTTCACTACAAGCTCTACGAAGGCGAAATTTAAATTGGAATATAAAAATGCAAAATAGGTAGAATTGGTACGAGTTATGTACGAGGAGAGGCTGGCTGAGTAGCTACAGTGGTAGCCTTCAATGCGGGAGATCCCACATCAGGCCCCCGCTGAAGTGATGACAGTTTTTCTATCAGGGGCCACAAAATAAAAATCTGACCTGGCATAAACAGTGGCGACAGCAGTAGCTCCGCGGCCCTACAACGTCAGGTCATGGTAGTCCTGTCTGCCAACCTAAAAAATCTCTAAATAAAGACACAAGTTATCCTTTTTTTTTTTTAATTAAAGACCAATGACAAAGCCTTATGCATCATTGATGTGAAATCGCTTTCGACTTTTGCTGCAGGTTGCGAAATTCCCTTAGTCATATTTAAAGCATAACTAATTTTTACATCGATTGAAAAGCACTCCGGGGGGCGAGGAGGGAGGGGGGGGAGGGGGGGGACGATGCAGTCAAAGTTACATTGACCGACTTTACTTCACAAGACATTTCCTGGTACATTTGATGGGGTCCACTAGGGACCCGTAAGCGAATTATTTCTTTAATACTTCTTTCCGGTTTGGGCTCGAACCCCGAGATCTTTGGCTAGGCTGTAAGAAATATCAACAGGCACAGACAGCATTGATGTGTGTGCGCCATAACAGTAATGACCGGTATGTGTATGAACAATAGTGGCATGGATGTACACTGATAATAATGAACTGTGTGTGCACTGACAATAATGAACTGTGTGTTGACTAACAATAGTGACCTGTATGTGCACTGACAATAATAAACTGTATGTTGACTAACAATAGTGACCTTTATGTGCACTGACAATAATAAACTGTATGTTGACTAACGATAGTGACCTGTATGTGCACTGACAATAATGAACTGTATGTTGACTAACAATAGTGACCTGTATGTGCACTGACAATAATGAATTGTATGTTGACTAACAATAGTGACCTGTATGTGCACTGACAATAATGAACTGTATGTTGACTAACAATAGTGACCTGTATGTGCATTGACAATAATGAACTGTATGTTGACTAACAATAGTGACCTGTATGTGCACTGACAATAATGAACTGTATGTTGACTAACAAAACAATAGTGACCTGTATGTGCACTGACAATAATGAACTGTATGTTGACTAACAATAGTGACCTGTATGTGCACTGACAATAATGAACTGTATGTTGACTAACAATAGTTACTTGTATGGACACCCACAATATTGAACTGTGTTGACTAAAAATAGTGACCTGTATGTGCACTGACAATAATAAACTGTATGTTGACTAACGATAGTGACCTGTATGTGCACTGACAATAATGAACTGTATGTTGACTAACAATAGTTACTTGTATGGACACCCACAATATTGAACTGTGTTGACTAAAAATAGTGACCTGTATGTGCACTGACAATAATAAACTGTATGTTGACTAACGATAGTGACCTGTATGTGCACTGACAATAATGAACTGTATGTTGACTAACATTAGTTACCTGTTTGTGCACTGACAATAATGAACTTTTGCTGCTGCCTAATTCCCACCCAGGCGTCAGAAACGACAAAGAGAGACAACCACGCGTACGCGGCTGTGGACTGCAAGAAAACGCCAGAGCTGTGCTGCGCCGAAGACATACCATTCATCCCATACTTCAAACTGTACTGCCGCGGCAGGTTTGTCGGCTTTAACGGGGATTACAAGCTGTTCGTTCACAAGAACATGAAGCGCTGGGTCGAATCTATGACTGCATTCACTCAGATGGGACACAAAATTGAACCATGCCGCACAAAATGATCTCAAAATAACTGGTCATATCTGACTTTACACCGTCATCAGCACACACAAAGAAGTTTGACTGTCTTATACCCACACCGCCATCAAGTTCCCCTCTCAGGGCATCTTTTCTGTCCATATGGAGAGTCAATGACGCAGACACTGACCCACAAAACAACAGTTTTGTCTAAGACCCCAGTTTGAGAATCAAAGGATTGCAGCCTAAAGGGAGCCGCTGGCTGGTCAAGACTGGAGCTGTTAGCTACTGTGTGGTAAGCAGTATTAGTATTTATAACCTTAAAGTCAAGATGGCGGTAGTGGTGTAGCGACTAGACGCTGTCTTTCTTGCGGATCGGAAGGTTCCGGGCTCGGGTCTTGACGGAGCTATACGTTTTTTGTTTTACTGAAAAATGACCGTGGGTCCTAGGTCAACCCAACCTTAAGTCCGTACCCTGTGAAGTAAAAGCAGCCAGGGATGTTGACCGCTTTACACCGTGTGTCGAATGGCCTAAAAATATAGGTCCAGCCCTATATGCCTAAAAGGCCAAATGGCGTGGAAAAGGGTCCTTTACTTTACTCACGTCGAGAGCATGGACTTCTTTGTAACGGGTTATCGCATATAGCCACTTATGGTCATCGCTGAGATTGTTGCACATAGTGCGAACTCTGCATCTTCAGCGACCAGGCCGATACAAACTGCACTCGCCAACTGAACGACTTCAAGACACACTGCTCGCAGCCCACTAGGCTGAAAATGTCCCTGGGTAAACGCTTGAACCTGGGCGCCAGATCATCTTGGCATTTTTCTTTGCTGGTAAATGTTGAATTAATAACCACCATCTCATTACTCAGAATCTTTCCCACAAACGATCTGTCCCCATCTTCAGCATGAAGGGAAGAGTACTGATTCTGTTTAGATTATTGTAGTCCCGTACTAATTGTGGTAGTACATGAATTAGGTGCAGGTCTCTCCCATGATGTAATTGAAACTTCCTGTATCATGTAGGCCTATTGTACTGTCTACATGAAACTCGGAACAGCAGCTACAGACAAATGCGCACACAAGAGAGAGAGAGAGAGAGAGAGAGAGAGAGAGAGAGAGAGAGAGAGAGAAAGAGAGAGTTAAGTTGAGTCAAGAATTCACATCACAGCACTCGGGGCATTTCCCTGCGTGCTCCGACCTCATCACCAGCAGTCAGCACAGAGTTCTAGTGCTGATGGTTCCGGTCGTAATATGTTTGTATGTCCAGAGAGAGAGGGACAGAGAGATATTGGGATGGCATTTACATGTTTGAGACCGTGTTACCTCAACAGAAAATAAAAACATAGAGAAAACGAAGGAACGAACTTATTTTTAAGAGAGAGAGAGAGAGAGAGAGAGAGAGAGAGAGAGAGAGAGAGAGAGAGAGAGGCTTTTAAGCTTATTTCACCTCAACATAAAGAGAGAGAGAGAGAAAGAAAACGAAAGAACGAACGAATTCAAGAGAGAGAGAGAGAGAGAGAGAAAAGAGAGAGAGACAAAGATAGACGGAGAGAGAGAGTGGGAGGAGAGAGGTAGAGAGAGAGAGGGATTATCATTATCATCATCACTTATATATTTTTGTAAATTCTTTTATTTTTTATATTTTGGATTTTGTTTGATGTTGACCCCTTGATGTTGACCCCTTGATGTTGACCCCCTGATGTTGACCCCCTGATGTTGACCCCCTGATGTTGACCCCTTGATGTTGATCCCCTTATGTTGACCCCCTGATGTTGACCCCTTGATGTAGACCCCTTGATGTTGACCCCCTGATGTTGACCCCCTGATGTTGACCCCCTGATGTTGACCCCTTGATGTTGACTACTTGATGTTGACCTCCTGATGTTGACCACCTGATGTTGACCCCTTGATGTTGACCTCCTGATGTTGACCTCCTGATGTTGACCCCTTGATGTTGACCCCCTGATGTTGACCCCCTGATGTTGACCCCCTGATGTTGACCCCTTGATGTTGATCCCCTTATGTTGACCCCCTGATGTTGACCCCTTGATGTAGACCAGCGGCTCTCAACCTGTCGGTCGCGACCCTTTCACAGGGGTCCCCTAAAACCATCGGAAGACAAAATTTTCTCGCAGTTATGAAGTAGCAGTGAGAAGCGTTGTATGACTGGGGTTCACCAAAACATGAGGAACTGTGCTGAACGCGAGTAAATTAGTTGCATCATAGTCTCTGTGTTTTTTAATAGCACCTAATCCTTTGTGACCTGTGTACACAGGTCATTTCTTTGACCTATCTGTCACAGAGCAAACAGATGTCGTAATTGTAACAAACGCTGAGAAAGGTGAAGACATGGAAGCTTCGCGCAGAGTGGCAAGCTTCGCTGGGAAGATCACGGGCAGCCAGCAATCTTTATATCTTTTCTCCAGGCTATGCAAGCGTAGTAGGTAAAAAAAAAAACAGGCAGACAGATTGACTGGATCTGCACCGATGGGTGGTGAATTGATACATGACACGACGGATATGGTCAAGGCCCTGTGTGAACAAGCAACGAAGTAAACAAAAAAAATTATTGTGGCCTGGAGAGAATAAAGCATCTGGATGTAACCAGAGGGTCTGGCAAGCTGACTACACTCAAGATAAAGGCAAGACGGACAAATAATCAGATTGTGACCGGTACCATCAGTGCTGGAACTCTGCGCTGGCTGCTGAAGATCAGGACGGAGCATGCATGGGAATGCCCTGTGTGCTGTAATGTCAATTCTTGACTCAACTCAACTCAAATCACAGATCCCTGCCTCATTTGTGTAGATTACATTCCATGCTGTGTCAGTATCTGTGATTATTTGTGTTATTTAATTTAAAAAAAATATAACATAACAAAACATAACAAAACAGGACTTAGACCTGAATTTTATAGAACTATTGACACTTGGTGGGTGTGACTAGCATCACGCTTTTCCCAAGACTTTATCTGGTACCAATTCAAAGCAGAATCCAACAGGAAGCCAAGGTCATTGTTGTAGATAAGTCCGCTCCATCAGGGACCGGAACCCATGATCATTGCATCCACATGTGAGCATAGACCCGCTACATCATGACGGCTCCTTGCTTCTCCTGTGGTATAATTATTTCATTTCATTGAAATACCTAAATGTACACACCTTTAATTTCCCCATTAATGACATTTGATTTAGAGACCAACCAGCACACTTCTGCACCCTTCTGTGAACGCACGTCATTTGATATCACGGTGGCGTCATTCTGCTTCGTCCTCTACGGCTCGCACAGGTCACCTGTCGGAGCGATGGACATTGTCCATTGATCCCATGTCAACGTAGAAAAGCACACACATTCCTCCAGAGAGGACTTGACTGGACAGACAAAACTTACTGACTGCAAAGCATAAGGAATCCTCCCGCAGTTTGTCCCTCTGACCTAGAAGTTACCAATTGTCATGTCCTGCTTCGGATGGCGTAGAGACACGAAAAAGGAGCAGCCGAATGGTAAATATGTTTGTCATGTTGCTGTTATTTCTCCTTTCATGTTATTTGCCTGTCTTTATGTTTGTTTTTTTTAATCTATCGATCTTTCCTGTCTTCACTAGTATCTTAGAGTGAATCTTTGCTAGTATCTTAGAGTGAATCTTCGCTAGTATCTTAGAGTGAACGATTCTGTCTGTTTCTGTTTACCATTCTGTTACACCAGCTGCACGTCTTCTGTTACTAATAAAATTCCCAGTTTTAATCTGGTGTGTTTGTTACGTGTGCCCCAGCTGTAACTTCTGTGAAGGTTGAAGGCGGTATTTGATATTTAGTCTTTGTCTTGCCAACAACACTGAAACATGTGCAATCCCAAGATAACGAAACCTACAAAAAACAGCGAGGAGGGTAGGCGATAGAAGAAAGGCAACACTTGTGCATAATCTGAAGGCAGAGATTGTACAACTCATCAGACACTGTTTCCCTAAAATCTCTTCTCTGTAGCACAACCATCTACCTGCCACTCCTGGACTGACAGGCTTTGCATTGCCACAATAACGGGCTAATTGAACTGATGCTGCTAGAGTAACGGTTATATCGGCCTATAGTGGCAGAACCTTGGGAAAAGGGGGGGGGGGAGATGAGAAGGAAAAAGGGGGGGGGGGAGTGTTATGTGGATTATTTTATTCACATTTTTTCCAGACCTGAAAGGTTCAATGTTCAGCACACCTTCATTCAATTAAATTTTATTACAGTGTTAGTTTATTAAGCATATTCACAACAATTGATGTAATAATTTATCCTTGCCACGTAGCACTTTATCATGCTTTATCCTTGCCGTGTCACGTTTGTCCACGCCATATCATACATCATACTTGTCATAAAACACGTTATCCTTGACATGTCACACTGAATCCTTGTCATGTCACACGTTATCCTTGACATGTCACACTGAATCCTTGTCATGTCAAACTGTATCCTTGCCATGTTCCACTGTATCCTAGCCATGTCACACTAACTCCTTGCCATGTCACACTAACTCCTTGCCATGTCACATTGAATCCTAGCCATGTCACACTGACTCCTTGCCATGTCACACTTTATCATTGCCTTGTCAGACTGTATCCTTGCCACATCACACTTTATCCTTGTCACAGAGCTGGAAAACAAGGAGCCGCTCCCGGACGAGTATGTCAAGGCTGAAGAAGTGGTCGGGTTGCAGGCGGACAACTTCCTGCCCTTCCTGAAGACTAAAGACGTGACTCTGGTCATGTTCTATCAGCCGGACTGCCCGGCCTGCGAGTTTTCTAGAAAACATGTCAAGAAGGTTGGTGACGTGTGGACGCTGGGGGGTGGTCATGAAGCAGAGAGTGGGTGAGACGGGGTACAAGGTCAGGGGGGAGTGTGGTGGGACAGAGTCGTAGAAGAGGGAAGTATAAGAAAAGATAAACCGATTAAAAAAATATATATACACGGATTTGGGATAGCAAAAGGTAAAGAGAGACAGACAACCAGAACTGACCACCAGAGTTTACAGCTGGTGAACGCAAAGATGGAGAATAATTGAGAGATGTACACGAGGAATGTGGGAGGGGAGGATGACTGGGACAGAGATATAGATGGGAAATGACACGATTCAATAAATAACAGATATAGCACGAGAGAGAGAGAGAGAGAGAAAGAGAGAGAAAGAGAGAGAGAGAGAGAGAGAGAGAGAGAGAGAGAGAGAGAGAGAGAGCGTACACTAGAGCCAAATATAAGATTTCGAAATCTAAGAAGGAACAATGCGTGAAGAGGGCTAGTGTGGTAATAACATGGATTGTGACGAGATATATACCTCAGTAGAGAAACAAAATAATAGACAGAAACAATGATTGAAAGAAGATATTTGGAGAACAGTACTGGTGACATGAGGCAGAGAGAATGGGGAGGGGGTAGGGGATCTGAGGGATGGGGTATTTGATTGTGATAGATGTGCAGGAGAAAGATACAGAATGTTACTGTGGCGAATGTATTAGAGAGACATAGACAAAGATTTTCGTGGCAGATGTATACAATAGAGAGTAATATATGTATATATATATATATATATATATATATATATATATATATATATATATATATATATATATATATATATATATATTCGTGGCAAATGTATACAATAGAGAGTAATATATATATATATATATATATATATATATATATATATATATATATATATATATATATATATATATATATATATATATATATAGATTCGTGGCAAATGTATACAATAGAGAGGGAGGGAGCGAGATGTTTTCGTGGCAGATGTATAAAAAAGCGAGAAAAAGAGGGAGAGAGAGAGAGGGAAACAGAGAGAGAGGGAGAGAGAGAAAGAGAGAGAGAGAGAGGGAAACAGAGAGAGAAAGGGAAACAGAGAGAGAGAGAGAAAGAGAGAGAGAGAGAGAGGGAGAGAGAGAGAGGGAGCGAGAAAAGCTTTCGTGACAGATGTATTCATTAGAGAGAGATGGTTCTTGAGAAATGTATTATATATATATGGCAGATGTATAAAACAGCGAGAGAGAGAGAGAGAGAGAGAGAGAGAGAGAGAGAGAGAGAGAGAGAGAGAGAGAGAGGGAGCGAGAAAAGCTTTCTTGACAGATGTATTCATTAGAGAGAGATGGTTCTTGAGAAATGTATTATATATATGGCAGATGTATAAAACAGCGAGAGAGAGAGAGAGAGAGAGAGAGAGAGAGAGAGAGAGAGAGAGAGAGATAGGGAGCGAGAAAAGCTTTCTTGACAGATGTATTCATTAGAGAGAGATGGTTCTTGAGAAATGTATTATATATATGGCAGAGGTATAAAAAAGCGCGAGAGAGAGAGAGAGAGAGAGAGAGAGAGAGAGAGAGAGAGATAGGGAGCGAGAAAAGCTTTCGTGACAGATGTATTCATTAGAGAGAGATGGTTCTTGAGAAATGTATTATATATATGGCAGATGTATAAAAAAGCGAGAGAGAGATAGAGAGAGAGAGAGAGAGAGAGAGAGAGAGAGAGAGAGAAAGAGAGAGAAAAAAAAGAGAGAGAGAGAACTTCTTTCGTGACAGATGTATTCATTATGGAGATAGATGGTTCGTGAGAAATGTATAAATAGAGAGAGAGTGAGAGAGAGAGAGAGAGAGAGAGAGAGAGAGAGAGAGAGAGAGAAAGAGAGAGAAAGAGAGAGAGAGAGAGATAGGGGGATGTTCAGCCCACGTTTGCTTTGATGCCAACGTGTTGTTTACCTTCCCATCCCAGGCATCAAAAGTCACGATACGAAATAGACATTCGTACGCTGCTGTCAACTGTGAAGCCTCGCCAACCATTTGTTGCAGCCAGAAGATAACCAGCACTCCATATTTCAAGATGTACAGCCGAGGTCGGGAGATTGGCTTCAATGACAACCCCAGAATGTTCACATACAAGGACATGAAACACTGGGTGGAGCAGATCAGTGTCTACAACGGGATGGGCAAGAAAATGTAAAATCCAAATTATTAAATCTCGGTACCATGCAATTCTAGGCCATGCCAGAGTCAACTCACTTGGTACATCGAAAAAGACAGGGAAAATGGACGTATTACTCCAATTCTAGGCACTGCTTTGATTCCAATTCCTCGTCATTGGATTTCACAAATAGTATTGCAATCATCCAGACCGCAGCCAGATTTTCCCTTTTACCATAAACATTAATTTCGTTTGAAACCCGGTAATGCACATGATCATGTGTGCCCTGCAATCCTGAACATCAATTCCCTGTAATCCTAAACATCAAAGCCCTGCAATCCTAAACATCAATTCCCTGTAATTCCTGATATAAATGGCGCCTAATCCTTTACATCAATGCCGCGTAATCCTTTACATCAATGCCGCGTAATCCTTTACATCAATGCCGCGTAATCCCTTACATCAATGCCGCGTAATCCGACATGATGTAGGAGATCATGTTAACTTGTCAGTCTCATGTATGGGCTGATATCAAGTCCCCGATTATGTACCGTAGCATTCCTGCATTCCAAACCGAAACATCAACGCCGTTTAATTCTCTCTAATGTAATGAAGTCTGTTGGTCCTCCAGTCATATCTGTCGGTGATATCCACCTGTCCTTGATGTATGGAACAAGTCCGCTCTCCATTGATATATGTAGGTGATATCCACCTTTCCTTGATGTATGGAGCAAGTCCGCTCTCCAATAATATATGTAGGTGATATCCCACTTTCAATAATGTTTAGCAACAAGTGAGCTCTCCAATCATATCTGTAGGTGATATCCACCTTTCCTTGATGTACTGGAACGTCCGCTCTCTATTCATATCTGTCGGCGATATCCACCTTTTCTTAATGTACAGCAACAAGTCCGCTCTCTATTCATATCTGTCGGTGATATCCACCTTTTCCTGAAGTATGGAAAAAGTCCGCTCTCCATTAATATATGTATGTGATATCCACCTGTCCTTGATGTATGGAACAAGTCTGCTCTCCATTCATGTATGTACGTGATATCCACCTTTTCTTGATGTATGGACAAAGTCCGCTCTCCATTCATATCTGTAGGGGATATCCACCTGTCCTTGATGTACTGGAGCAACTCCGCTCTCCATTCATATCTGTAGGTGATATCCACCTGTCCTTGACGTACTGGAGCAACTCCGCTCTCCATTCATATCTGTAGGTAATATCCACCTGTCTATGACGTACTGGAGCAACTCCGCTCTCCAATCATATCTGTAAGTAATATCCACCTGTCAATGATGTAATGGACCAAGTCCGCTCTCCAGTCATATCTGGTGGCGATATCCATTCATTGATGATGTAGTTGACCAAGTCCGCTCTCCAGTCGCTGAAATCGCTGCCAGCCGTCCGCGACAAGAGAGCTCCGTACGTCTTACTATAGAGACTATTCGAGACGCGACAGCACAGAGGCCACAGACAAGATGCTTCTGTCCCAAACTTTAGTAGACAATTGATTCCATGATCAACAGTTGCTGCTCCGTGAGACATTGTCAGGCGCCGACAGCGGCTGAGGACCGGCATGAGGTAAGTAAATAGACAGTGACATTTTTTTCTTTTCTTCTTCTTCTTCTTCTTCTTTTTCTTCTTCTTCTTCTTCTTCTTCTTCTTCTTCTTCTTCTTCTTCTACTTCTTCTTCTTCTTCTTCTTTTTCTTCTTCTTCTTCTTCTTCTTCTTCTTCTTCTTCTTCTTCTTCTTCTTCTTCTTCTTCTTCTTCTTCTTCTTCTTCTTCTTCTTCTTCTTCTTCTTCTTCTTCTTCTTCTTCTTCTTCTTCTTTTTCTTCTTCTTCTTCTTCTTCTTCTTCTTTTTCTTCTCCCTCTTCTTCTTTGCCTTCACTGACTGTAAAGTCCAGCAGAATCTCCTGGTTGTTCTACACTTCTTGACCTTGTTCTCAAATCAGAAACTGAGTTTTGTATGAACATCCGTTTGAAAGATCTCGCTTATTTCGTTGAAGTCTGTTGTTTCCTTGTCTCTAAGGCAGACACATCCCGACTTTGAAGGAAAAACCACTAATTAGTCTTCTTTTACGTTAGTCTACTTTTACGTTTGTCTACTTTTACGTTAGTCTACTTATACGTTTGTCTACTTTTACGTTAGTCTACTTATACGTTTGTCTACACGCTTTTTTCGGAGGCAACCAAGTTACCCCCCCCCCCCCCTCTTCTCCCCTCTTTACCCTTTTCCCTAGTGAGACCGAGGAACGCACACTGGGAGACCGCAAAATGATTTGAAAGCTCTAGTGACATTGGTTCCACCCGTCACATTCAACAAGTATGTATCGCTTATTTAACAGACGAGCCTCTACACAGGATCACCTAGACATTTAAACCCAGGTGCTATTTCCCCAACCAGTGACAATACATCTCAGATGAACTTATAATAGTACAGTATTTTATTAGTTCATTGAAAAACTATACATGACAGTTGACAGTTTAGTTATTCTCATTTGTTAATTCAGTGGCGATGCATGTCAGCGGAAAATGTAGTAATATTCTAATTATTCGTTGAAAACCTATCAGTGTCAGGTAAACATTCGGCCACATTGCTGCGTTCCTACACAGACTTTTAAAGGTGTTTTTAAAGTCCTGTTACACTTCATATGTATAACAAATGGGAAAAGCTAAAGTACATGACGTCAAAAACAGATGCGTAAAAAACAACAACAAAGAAATCAAATTATTTACAACAGGCACTGCTATGGTCTGGTGTAACTGTGGCGTAGCGGCTATACGCTTGCCTGCGGAACAGAAGGTCGTGGTATAGCTCCCTATCATAGCCCGACTTTTTTTCTATAAATAATCTTGGCTCCCAGTTCTACCCTGCCTTGAGTGGGTACCAGATGAAGTCCTGGAAAGTAAAGGCGGCCGGCGGGATGCTGACCACATTGCCCGTCTTGTGCCGTTGGTCTATAAAATATATATCTATCCGAATATACCCAACGCTTGAAAGGCGAAATGTCTAACGCTGTTTTCGAGGAACCTGGAAAATACTCATGCAATATTCATTGCAACAGATGTTTGTCCACTTTATTCTAAATTTAAAGTATAGAGAGACTTTAAAAATACCCTGTATATGACAGAACCACTATTGGCCTCTGTTAGTTAAATAATGAGGCAGTCCAGGACTGGCATTTGTATGAAGCTACAATGAAGACTATCTCCACTTGGATTTCCAGCAAAGTCACCAACCTGAAAAGCTGTTTATTCTGTGCACTGCTGTGGCTATGCTCCTACTAACTGTTGCTGAGTAGCCTTCGGTGTTCATTGCTGGGCTGCCTTGCTACAGAAAGTCTGTGATACATTTTCTGACGTTATTTTTGGGTAATATGCAGTCTTGTCGTGTGTGTAATTTCCTCTACTTTGACTTCAGAAAAGGTGTCAGATCTTCGGTAGGATTTTTATTTCGGATATAGGAAGCTTTGAAGCGCTCATTTAAAACCTGTTCCGTCCACGTTGTTACATCATCATCATGTAGCAAGTCCTTTGCAGAACGTCGCTCTCATCACAGTCTGCCTGAAAGAAACTCGGTCTCTCGCCAGTTCTCCCGCCTCATGAACTTTCACACTCAAGGAGTCACTTATATCCTGTGCCCATCTTCGTGTCGGTCGGCCCCTGCCCCCCCCCCCTTCCTGGTACCATGCCTTCTGCTATAATTGTTTCCAATCCGTCGTGGCGCTTGATATGACTAACATATTTCAGCTTTCGAGAAAGGAGGCTGTTTATTAGCCAATCTTCCTTGATGTTCAAATCTTTTAAGATGTCAATATTTCTCCTCTTCTTTGTCCAAGATATTCTGAGAATCTTTCTATATCATTTCAGCTCAAAAGCCTCTATTCTCTTTCTTAAGGATTGAGAGATAGTCCATGAGTGACATCCGTATGTAGCCACAGGGAAGATGCATGCTCTCAAAATTCTAATTTTTATCTCCTTGCTGGTGCTTAGCCATAGACCTTTAAGGCTGTTCAATCAAACGTTGCAGTAATATAAACTAACCATCAACAGATGTGGCTGAATTTGAAAAAAAAAAAAAAAAAAAGATAAAGACCTTTATTTTGAATAAAATATGAACCATGGAAAGGTAGTCAGAAAAAGTTGATGTCGGCATTAAGGCCAGCATCCCATAGCTTAGATAGGTGACCAATAACTTCTGGAAAATGTGAAGCAATGGCTCCTGTCATTCCGTGTAAACCTAGGGGCTCTATAATGTCATCAGTCCACACACACACACACACACACACACACACACACACACAAACATTCACCTGCTAGATTTAGTCAAGCCAGGCTGAGGGAGAGCTGTCCTCCCTACTTACCTTTCATTTCTGTGCCTTTCAGGATGACATGATGCTTAGAGTCAGTCGCACACAACCAAGTCATCGACCTGGCTTGTGCAAGTGAGGCTGCAGATGATCCAGATAAAGCTACATGGATGGCAGGAACCCCAGCAAACAGGAATTAGCTTGGAGACCTAATAAAAAACCCATTGCAGTAGAACATTGAAGTGACAGAAACAATACCCTGACAGCTACAGGACAAAGAGAAGACCGAACGAAAACAACCAACACTACGTAACACAGAAACAACATCAAACAATATTAGTTAAAAAGAAAAAAAAAGTAAGTGGAACGTAGAAAATAAATGCTTTTAAACATAAAACGGGCTTTGAAGAATTCTTTGTGTTAAATAATTGTATTCCTCGATTGTCGCACTCAGCCCGGGCATCTATCTACTCATCCTCTTCCTAATCGCCCTCCTCTTCATCTAATTCCTCATCCATGTCTTCTTGTTTTTTTTTCTGCGTCTTCTGGTTATTCTTTTTTCTTCTTCGTCGTCTTTTTCTTCTGCACTCTCTTACTATGCCTTAGTCTTCTCCTTCTCTTTCTTGCTACTAGACTTTCATAGCTCTTTTTCCACAACCATCATTACTGTCTTCATTGTTGTTGTTGTTGTTGTTATCGATCCAGCGGCGCATGAGC